AATGTCTTATAGGGTTTGGGACTTTTACACAAAAAGTGTTGAGCAATTAAACAAGAACTAAATAAATGGTGGCACATACCATGTTAGTGGATTGGGAGACTCAGTATTGTAAGTGATGTCAAATCTCCCTAACTGCCGATCTGTAGATTCATTGCAAGCCCAATAAAAATCCCAATAGTTTTCATTTTGGATATTGAAAAGTTGAAGCCAAAATTTATACAGAAATGCAAAGATCCAGGAATAGCTAAGATATTTTGAAGTGTCTAATAGATAGCAAGGCATATTATAAAGCTATGGTAATTAAAGTTTTATTGTATTACCCAAGCATAGCAACAAGACCAGTGAAATCAAATAGAAACTCATCCTCACATATATGGACACAACATATGTCAAAGGTAGTACTGCAGACCTATGGGGAAAGGGTGCTCCCCCCCTCCCCCTTTAATAAACAATGCTTGGGCAATGGATATCCTAATAGAAAAAAAAAAAACTCGACCCTTATCTCACTCCATGACAGTCAATTCTAGGTGAACTGTAGATCTAAATGTCAAAGCTATAAAGCAGTAAAGTTCATATAAATAAATATAGGACAATATCTTCATGACCTTGGAGTAAGGAAAGATTTCTTAAATGGGACACACACAAAGCACTGACCATAATTGGGATGGAAGAAGTTGGTAAATTTGAGCACATTTATCAATCAAAAGATATCATAAAGAGAATTAAAAGCCAACCTCCAGAGTGGGAAAAACTGTAACACATAAAACTTACAAAGGGCTCGTATCCAGAGGATATAGAGTTCCTACTAATCACTTAGTAAAGAATTGACAACCCAGTATAAAACAAGCAAAAGACTTGAACTAGCACTTCATGAAAGAGAATAACCAAATGACCAATAAACGTGTGAAAAGGTACTCAATCTCATGATAATCAGAGAAAAGCATATTCATTTCTTATGACCCAGCAATCTTATCACTTAATATACCCATAGCATTGACTGTGCATGTACACCAAGAGACATATATGAAAATCTTCATAGCAATATTATTTACAGTAAGTAAAATGAGGAACCAACCCATCAACAGATTAAATAGTGATACATTCCTACAATGAATATTATTATACAGCAATAAAAATCAGTGAATTAAAGCTATGTGAATCAATGTGGTTGAATCTCACAAACATAATGTTGAGTGAAATAAACCAGACAGGAAAGAATACTTGCAGCAGTCTGATAACATTATATAAACTATTTCTGCCTAAAACTAACATAGTGTGTTTATGGAATTCATGTTTATTTGCTTATTTGGTGAAAAGGTAAGGAAAAGGTAATGATTACTGTAAAAGTCAAGATAGCAATGATCATCAGTGCTTTCTATTTTGGTCTAGATGGTGATTTTGTGAGTCTTCACTTTGTAATCATTTAACTATTTTTGTTTTGTGCACTTTTTGGTATGTGTTATATTTTACCAAAAAAAATAAAATAAAGGGGTAGGGGAGCAGCTAAAAGAAAAAGAAATAAATAGTCAATTTCTAGGAGATCTGATGTCTAATTTCAAGTCTGAAAGTAAGTAGTTGTGACTATTTACTAACAGGGTGACTGACAGAGTCAAGTCACTTCATCTTTTTGGACTTTTACCTCTGAAAGGAAGGGGTTGTACTAGGTGATTTCTGGCAAGTCTTTTTGTTTTAATTAGCTTTATTAAGGTCTAATTTACAAACATCAATGGATTTAAGTACCAGATTTTATGGTTGAATTTCAAAAACTATCAGCAAGAGAAGAGAGATTAGATCTTTAGAGTAGAGATAACTTTAACTTTTTATTGCTCTTTATAGTTTGACATCCTTTCACATTTCTGAGGAATGTTTGCATATCTGTAGTTGATATATTCATTATGGATACATTTTTTCAATTCTTCTATCATAGAAGATCTGTTAGACTCTCTGTTCAGAAGGATTTGGAACAGAAAGAAAAAGACCATGTAAAAATGAAAGCCAAGAGATGTGCCACTCCTGTAGTCATCAATGAAATTCCACCCCTTAAAAAAATGAAAGTGTAAGTAGCCACAACTTCTTACTGCCAAGGGCAGACATACTGTGCCTTGCATACCACCTGTAAGGTAAGTTTCTTTCCTGAATTTACACTTCAGAGTGAACAGAGTAAAATTACAAATGGGTACATATGCAGTCTATTTGATACACCTGGAGCTTGGGAAACTCCTAAAACTGTGACCATGGCGAGGTGAATTGTTACATGTGTCCTATAGGGTACTCAAATCTTAGTTGGCTTACACTTTTCTGCTGTTTGCTTCTGTGATTAATAACAAGCTGAGTATATGGTGCTGCTTGGTCTTATTTTTATCAGTTAGAAATGTGTTTTCCTTCAAGGAATAGTCTATTCAAGTAGAGTGGTTTAATAATGACTTATGTGTTTCACAGAAGTCTAAAAGTAGTTTGCTTTGGTTCAGTGGCAGAAAGTTGCCAAGCCTAGCATCTCTGATTCTTAGCTTTTTTTTTTTTTTTTTAAAGCCTAGTCAAGTGAAACAGTGGAAGTAGTGAAGGAATAAAGAAATCTGTAACTCGTTGTGATCAGTTAGTAACTCTTAGCTTTTTATTTTCATACTTGTTGCTCAGGATGCTGTTCTGTGTTTCTTAGCTTTTTGCCTTTGCTTATTACCTCATTATCACAAGAAAGCTGCTGTTTCTCTAGGTATCACATCCATGTTCAAGAGAAGGAGAGTATCATAGAGGGGCAGCACCCATATGAGGAAAGCGGAATCTTTCCCAGAAACTCTTAAATTATATCTCAGTTGCCCAGACTGTATCACTTGGGTCCTCTAGTTGGAGTAGAGGCTGTCAAAGCAAGTATAATACTTACAGCTTGGTACATTGCTGCTTGCCCCCAAATTAGAGGTCTATTAATAAGAAAGAGATAGACTAGATTGGGAAGGTAACTAACTGTTGTTTGTTCATTCGATGGTGAGCAGGTAGAATCCCTCCTTACTCTCCTGAACCACCACTAGACAACTCTAACCTTGACTTCTGTTGGCTTTCTTGAAGTTTACTCATCGGAGTCATTGGAGTATATGCTCTAATGATACTATTGGAAGAATCTTGTGGTTGAAGCATGCTTGTTATCCTAAAGAATGAGAAAATTTGAGTCACATGGGGTAGATCTGGGGAGGAGGTTGGTGTGAGATATGCTTTAGGGAATTGAGAGTGTATTTTTTGTCCTTTGAACTCAAGTTCTAACAAGAAAAAGAAGCCAGAGGAAGAAGGCAGTGCTCATGAAGATACTTCTGAAAAGAATGAATCTTCCCCAGAGAAAGCCAAGGACAGCCATACTGTGCCTCGTATACTACCTGTAAGGTAAGTTTCTTTCCTGAATTTAAACTTCGGAATGAAAGGGGTAAAATTACCAATGTACATCTGCAATCTGTTTGGTGCACCTGGAGCTTGGGAAACTCCTAAAGCTTTGACTAGGGTGAGATGAATTGTTACATGTGTCCTAGAGGATGCTCAAATCTTAAACAGTGAGAAAAACATACTATTAAAGCAAATTTAAAAGAAATATAAAAGTAAAAAGTTAGTAAAGGTTTGTACTACCTAAATTGAACAGCATTCATTTTTCCAAGCTCTCTCCTGGCTTTTTCCTAAGTAACACGTATATTTTCACAATCAGTTAATAAACAAGCTTGGGTTCTGCTTTATTCACTTACCATGAGACTACTTCATTTATTTTCTGGGCTGCTACGGAATCTTCACATTTATCCTTTTTTGAGAGATTATTAATATTCTATCAAATTATATTTAATCATTTTCTGTTGAAAATGTAGTTTCCAATTTTTATTATAATAGTTAGTGAGCAACTTTATATGCAGAGCCATTTCTGTATGGTCTCAGAATAAAGAAAGAGAAACTCCTTAATCAAAGGGTATGACTGGTTTTAGGGGTGTTAATATTTATTGTCAATTTTATTTCTGAAATAAAAGTACCAATTCACAGTGCCATTAGCTTTGAATATTTTTATTCAAATATAAAATGTTATAGTCTCTTCTGCATTTTTTAATTTTTACAATTGCTTCAAATTTAATTGATATAATATTGATGGCATCTAATTATTTTAAAAAATTTCATTGTAAATTGATAATTTTATAATTGTATTTATGGGGTATAAAGTGATATTATGATTTATGGCTATAATGTGGAATAATTAAATCAAGCTAATTAACATATCTATCACCTCAAATACTTATTTTTTGTGGTGAGAACATTGGAAATCTACTCTCTTAGCAATTTTGAAATGTATAATACACCGTTATTAACTATATTCATCATACTGTGCAATAGATCTTAAAAAACGTATTCCTTCTGTCTGAGATTTTATATCCTTTGACCATCATCTCCCCATTCCCCCCAACTCCCAGCATCAAATTATTTTAATTTTTATTTATTTGCTGACAAGATTATATTGTCATTATAAACATCATCTCCATATTTTCTCTTCAGTGAATTGTCTGTTTCCTTTTTTATTTATCTATAAGTGGTGTTAGTGATTTTCTCATTACTAAGAATGGCTACTCTACATTTTACTTTACCATATGTCAAGCACTTCAGAAACATTATCTGATTTAACAGTTGTGGATATTCTATGCGCATGATTATTTTTATTCCTCATTTTACAGTGGAGAAAACTGAGGCATAGAGAGGTTAAATAGTTTTCTCAAGATCATGTCGGCAGAAAAAGAAATGACATAGTTGAGATTTGATCCCTAATTGGCTTTACTTCTATGTCTGTTCTCTCTATTACAGTTATTTTATGTATATTAACCCTTTGCCACCTTTGCAAATATTCCCCATTGTACTGTTTTTTGTTTGTTTGTTTGTTTTTTGAGTCAGGCTCTCACTCTGTTCCTCTAGTTAGAGAGCAGCAGCATGATCCTAGCTCACTGTAACCTCAAATTACTGGGCTCAGGCTATCCTCCTGCCTTAGCCTCCCAAGTAGCTGGGACTACAGGGGTGTGCCACCATGCTCAGCTAATTTTAGTATTTTTTGTAGAGACAAGGTCTCACCATGTTGACCAGGCTAGTCTCAAATTCTTGGCCTCAAGTGATCCTCCTACCTCAGCCTCCCAAAGTACTAGGATTACAGACGTGAGTCACTGCACCTGGCCTCTACTTGTTGTTAAATTTTTTTTTCTTGTGGCATAAAGGCTCATCATTATGTAGTCAGATTTCTGGATCTTTTATGATATCTTCTATAGTCTGTTTTAGCTATTTTTATGAAATTTTTTCAGTATTTTGCATCTTGATTTTTTTATAGTGTCATATAATTCAGTATCTGTTTATTAGATAATATTTTTTTGTTTTCGATGGTAATTTTATCACAAGTTAAAAACATTATATAATGCCTGTAGATACTGTGAATCATCCAGCCCCTTTCTCTTCCCTTTTCTTATCTCCTTTGCTGATTTGTCCTTTAGGCGAAAGGTTCTAAAAAGTACTGAGGAGCAAGAGTTGGAGAAGAGAATGAAAATGCAGCAGGAGGTGGTGGAGATGCGGAAAAAGAATGAAGAATTCAAGAAACTTGCTCTTGCAGGAGCAGGTCAGTTTGGCTCTGGTTGAGTCTGATTTATGAGGGGTGCTTCTTATAATCTTAGTAGGGTTTTTTTTTGAGATCCCTAAAGCAAAAAAAGGCTTTCATAGTAGTCAGCATAAAAAGATGTGTTTATTTAGAAGGCTAGATGTGGGTTCCATCTATATCCCAATGCTCATTCCCTGGAACATTTTATATACATTGGTCCTTTCTTGCGGCATGCTATTCCTTTCCTTTGTTTTAGAAAAAGAAGGAACTAGGATTGAGATAGAAGCTAAAGTAATTTGGCAGGCCAGTTTGTTGTTGTTTTCCCATTTTATCCTAAAGGCAGAGGAAAAGAAAACTGAGTGAAATCCAGTTTGTGTCTATGGAGGAAAAATATGATGAAGGAGCTGAAGGGTCACAGTTCTGCTTTGCTCTGGCACACAGTTACTACTGGTGGAGTCATAGCTATAAAGCCCTCATTACTGGGATGAAAAAACACCCCTGAAGTTTATAGGGTTTTCTTCTTAGAGCTAAGTGTGCTTTTAAAGTCAATCCATCACTTTTCCTATGAAAAGTGTTCCAGTTACTCTGTTCTTCCAGCACTTTGACCCCACCTGGGATATGGGATTCTTCTTGCCTATGCTACCTCTTTATAGTTTGCATCTGCCTGAATGGCCTCAAACCTATTAGTACTCAATGAATATGACACATATTTTGGTGTCCTTGAGGACTGTTGTAAGTTTTGGGTTGCGTGTAGATAGTCGACGAAGTTAGATCCATGGTAATAGACAAATAATACTAGACAAATAATACTAAAAATGACTGTATTAAAAGGAAATTTACTGATGTTCCCTATTCTTAATGTTATTTCTGTGTTTTACTTTCTTATCAGGGCAACCTGTGAAGAAATTAGTGAGCCAGGTAACCAAATCAGTTGACTTCCACTTTCGCACAGATGAGCGCATTAAACAACATCCTAAGAACCAAGAGGAGTATAAGGAAGTGAACTTTACATCTGAACTTCGAAAGCATCCTTCATCTCCCGTAAGTTAATGGACTAAATGAATATTACTGTTACTAATTCAGTTAGGATTTCAGAGCATTTGTGGTTACTATAATAATACAATGGAGAGAATCATATGTTTTTAATTAGGATAGTTCTAAATCCTTATGTTGCTCCCTGTTAGCTATGTGATTTTGGACAAATCACTCTACCTTTTTGGGAACCATTTTACCAAGTTGCTGTAAAAACTGAATTGAGACTGTACAGGGCTTATGGGAAAAATGGGGTTGAAGTAGACCACTCAAATCCTGTGCAGTTTTGTTACCAGAGCACCAACAAAAACAATAACAATCTTAAGTAAAATTCTTGTGCTTATAATCTTTACTTGCATTTGTTGTCAGCATCATCATTTTTTTTTTTTTTTGAGACAGAGTCTCACTCTGTTGCCTGGGCTAGAGTGCCGTGGCGTCATCCTAGCTCACAGCAACCTCAAACTCCTGGGCTCAAGCAATCCTCCTGCCTCAGCCTCCCGAGTAGCTAGGACTACAGGCATGCGCCACCATGCCCGGCTAATTTTTTCTATGTATTTTTAGTTGTCCAATTAATTTCTTTCTATTTTTAGTAGAGATGGGGTCTCGCTCTTGCTCAGGCTGGTTTTGAACTCCTGAGCTCAAACAATCCGCCCGCCTCTAGGATTACAGGCGTGAGCCACCACGCCCGGCCAGCATCATCATTTTTGAAGTCAGTCCTTTGCAGTTGTAAACTCTGAGGTTGTGTTTCTTCCTTTGAGATATAGGTCCTTGAAGAGTTTTGCTTCTAAGTGGAGACCAGTTTTATTAAAATTAATGATCCCCTAAGAAAGGGCCAAGGATCTTGGGAGTAGGCTTCTTCATCAGTCAGTTTGGGGGGACATATGGGGAGATTTTGCTGATTCAGCTACCTGACTGGATGCAGACTGAGAAGTCCAGTCAATTTTTTTTTTTTTTTTTGAGACAGAGTCTCGCTCTGTTGCCCAGACTAGAGTGCTGTGGTGTCAGCCTAGCTCATAGCAACCTCAAACTCCTAAGTTCAAGGGATCCTCCTGCCTCAGCCTCCCTAGTAGCTGGGTCTATAGGTGTGTGCCACCATGCCCGGCTAATTTTTTCTATTTTTAGTAGAGATGGGGTCTCGCTCTTACTCAGGCTGGTCTTGAACTCCAGACCTTAAGTGATCCTCCTGCCTCAGCCTCCCAGAGTGCTAGGATTATAGGCATGAGCCACCATGCCTGGCTTCCAGTTAATTTTTTGTTAATGGAGTTGAGGGTGGGAAGTCTTTGCAGCTTTTCCCCCTTTAAATTTTAAAACAGCTTGCTCCGGATTTCTTCAAAACATTGACACGCTTGGGGAAGAATCGCCTATTTACTATTACAGAACAGACAATTTGTGAAGTGCTAGATCCTTTCTTCCTTTTTTTCTTTTCTTTTCTCCTTTCCTTTCCTCTCCTTTCTCCTTTCTCCTTTCCTTATTAGGAATAGGCTGGTTATAGTTCTTGCTCAAGGACTGACAAACTTCAGAGTAATAATCTTGGCTTTACATAGGCCCTTTTTCATTTGAACCTTTGTGCTGAATATGTGGCTTGTGGTAGATCCTAGTTCTTCTATAACCCTTCATTTGGGGAACAACTTTTCTCTTTACAGGCCCGAGTGACTAAGGGATGTACCATTATTAAGCCTTTCAACTTGTCCCAAGGAAAGAAAAGAACATTTGATGAAACAGCTTCTACATATGTGCCCCTTGCACAGCAGGTTGAAGCCTTCCATAAACGAACCCCTAACAGATACCATTTGAGGAGCAAGAAGGATGATATTGGTAAGTTTCCTACCAATATTATAGATGGATGGAACCTCCTGTAGAATCCCCTTTGTCTGCATCTGAGGCACAAATTTGTCTTTAGCTTTTCAGCTAAAGTATGGCATATGACTATATGCAGACAACAAATGTATACTTTAGAATTTCTCAAACCACCCAGCTATCTGTTCATATTTATCCATCAACCATGATCCTTCTGGTCAATAATTGGCCAAGGGGAATGAATCAAGGTAACCTTGAGGATATCTTTGCCATGTGTCAAACAGTGACAGTGCATTTACTTACTTATAGGAAATTCATTCATTCAAGTTGTGTGTTTTTGTTCATCGATTTAGCAAATATTTTACTACTACTAACCAGGCACTATGTTGGGTGTAGGGGGTATACAGGTGAACAAAATGGACTCGGTACTACTCAACATCAAGTTTCTAATTTAGTGAGAGAGATAAATAGATCATTACAAATTATGGTAAGGGGTATGGATGTGGAGGGAGAGGCAAGAGTCAAAGGAGGTGGGAGAGAGGTAGAACATATCTGAATGCTGAGAAGTTCTGTCTGAAGTTGAAAATACAGGAGAGAGGAGATAACCAATGGATTAAGTCCTTGAGCAGGCAGGTAGGATGGAGGTACTTGGCACAGGTGGAGTGACTGTTCTTTAAAAGGAGGATAGAAGAGTAAGAGGAATGTGGGTACAAATGCTGGTGGATTTGCAGATTTGGTGTCAACAGATGAGGGGATTCTAAACTTGTAGTTTCTCACTTTATGAAAATAATTTCTATAAGAGGGAAGATGAGGTCGGGCGCGGTGGCTCACACCTGTAATCCTAGCACTCTGGGAGGCCGAGGTGGGCGGATTGTTTGAGCTCAGGAGTTCAAGACCAGCCTGAGCAAGAGAGAGACCCTGTCTCTACTAAAAAAAATAGAAAGAAATTATCTGGACAACTAAAAATATATATAGAACAATTAGCCGGGCATGGTGGCGCATGCCTATAGTCCCAGCTACTCGGGAGGGGCTGAGGCAGGAGGATCGCTTGAGCTCAGGAGTTTGATGTTGCTGTGAGCTAAGCTGACGCCACCGTACTCTAGCCTAGGCAACAGAGTGAGACTCTGTCTCAAAAAAAAAAAAAAAAAGAGGGAAGATGAAATTTGAGGAGTGGAGATGGTATACAATAGTTCTTGAGAGTATAGGGCTGGATAAAGCAGAATCTGGTCAGTTGAGGGTCTCTAGATTTTTCCTACCCTTGCATAGGTGTTGTTTAGCACTATATTAAGTAGCTAGATGAATTCCTTTGAGTACAGCATTTCTTAGTATTGTTATTATGTTCTAGTAGCTAAAATCATTTTGTTAGATTTTATATTATGAAAGTAATGAAATATTTCTTTTTATTCTATTGGAATAAAATTTAAATATTAAACATGACTTTTTAAATAATATATGACTTTTAGAGTCTGATATGCCCTGCTTTTAGAATCCTAGTCATGGCAAATAGAAAAATTATTTTATGCCATTTTTATTTAAAACTTTGTATAGTTATAGCTAAATAATGGTTGTATGTATATTTGAAGCATGACTTATTTCTAAAATAAATAGATTTGGTTTTGATCTCCCACTGTTATATGATATTGATAAGATCTAAATTAAAGCACTCATTCTATATAATTATGAAAATTGTAAGGTTTTCCCTGACCAGGAAAATTAATATTTTCTATGAGTGGTGGTATGATCTTAATATTGATGCTTTGACATAGATTTTTCACTTTCTCCATTTGCCTTTTTTTTTTTTTTTCTATACAGGGTCTTGCTCTGTTGCCCGGGCTAGAGTGCAGTGGTGTCATCACAGCTCACTGCAACCTTAAGCTCCTAGGCTTAAGGGATCCTCCTGTCTCAGCTTTCTGAGTAGCTGGGACTACAGGCATGTGCCACTATGCCCAGCTAATTTTTAAAATTTTTTGTAGAGAGGGAGGTCTCACTGTGTTGCTCAGGCTGGTCTCGAACTCCTGGGCTCAAGTGATCCTCCTGCTTCAGCCTTCGAAAATGCTAGGATTACAGACATGAACTACCATTCCCAGCCTCCATGTGATTTTCTATAGGAGGTGGTCTTGATGCTTTGATATAGATGCTTTTAGGAAATTCATAACGTTGGGAATTATTACTTGATCTTTAGAAAGGTCATATATCTTAAAGCTGGGATAAGCAAGAATCTTATTTGTCAATAACAAGTGAAATAGTTGGCATTGTTAATAGAAAGTATACGCCTATGCAATGATAAGGAACCCATCAGACATGGATGGATTTTAAGTTCAGAAGGTAAGAGTAGAGTTTACTCAAAGGCTACCACCTTAGTCATACTCCTTAATAAAGAGTGATGGAGAAGAAGGGACTGACTGTTTGTTAGACTGACAGACGTGAGCTGAGCTAAGTGGAAAGGGCCCACCACTCTGTGGTTTGTTTATCCATCTCTAGGCCACCTAGTTGAGTCACCACTTGACAGGTAAACTGGATCTTAGGGACTAGGTAAATGTCTGTCATCTTGGTTTATAGGTCTGTTACCCTCCAAATCTGTGCCAAAGATCTCCAGAGACCCACAGACTCCTGTATTGCAAACCAAACAGCGTGCAAGGCCTGTGACCTACAAAAGTGCAGCAGAGCAGGAGGCTGAGGAGCTTGAGAAACTGCAACAGTAAGTCCCATCTGAGAAAGAGTTCCAAAAACTTCCCTACTTGCTTCTCAGTTCTATAAGGATAACAGTTAATATTTTCCTTTTCATGAAAATTTGTGGTGTTTGAGTTGTAGGCTCTGTAGTTGTAGGCTGTTTCCCTGCCTCTATGATTAAAGAACTAAAGTGGGACTATGGAGATGTCCTGAAGTATAAACTGGTAAAAAATTTAATGCAGAGATTGCAGTGGGAGAACTTACTTGGATTCCAATTAAGGAATATCCTCTGAGGTTAGGTTAGGTAAATCCCACCCTTTTATGGCTACCCAGCGGATTGTTACAGCTATAATCAGTGGAGGAAATGGGAACTTAGCATTGGAGTTTATTTCCTATATTCTTCTTCCATTCCTTTTTATGCTTCTTTTAAGGAGAGGGAGCTTCCTCTGTGAAGAGGAGCCCCAGCCTTTAATGCAGTGGGAATGTTAGAAATGTCTCATTTATTCTTTGTTCTAGAGGTAAAAATAATGGCTATGGAGAGAGTTGAAATTTTACTGTGCATAATGGGTAATTTTAATGATTATTTTTTGGTTTTGGCCCACTTTGTTGTTTGGGTAGTTTTCATTTTATTAAAAAAATTTTTTTTGTGGTTATCATTTAAACTATCACAGATACAAATTCAAAGCACGGGAACTTGATCCCAGAATTCTTGAAGGTGGGCCCATCTTGCCCAAGAAACCACCTGTGAAACCACCCACTCAGCCTATTGGCTTTGATTTGGAAATTGAGAAAAGAATCCAGGATCGAGAGTCAAAGAAGAAATCAGATGATGAACACTTTGAATTTCATTCCAGACCTTGCCCTACTAAGATCTTGGAAGATGTTGTGGTAAGAATAGTTGAGGACTCTGTATGCTGGCAGAAGTGTCCTGCTCATGACCAAATATCCACCCATTCACAGAAATATTTGAGTAGATACTGTGAGCAGGGCATCATATTAGGAGCTGTAGGTGATATAGAGACACATCAGAAGTGGATTTGCTCTTAGGCAACTTAAAGTCCATTATGGGAAACAATATATGTGCGAATAATGTAAAATGGACAGAAGTGTTCTAAGGGAGATGACAGTTTAAAGTACTATAGGAATTCAGAGGGGAGAATGATTTCTTTTAGAGAGAAGGTTCAAGTAGTGCTTCGTGGAGGAAGCAGCATGACCTGAGCCATGACAATGTGTAGTAGTAGTTGTTATCATCGTACCTGACACTTACTATGCGCCAGGCACTACTCTCAGCCCTTTCCATATATTAGCCTATTATTTTTGACAATAGTTCCTTCAGGTGGGTTGCTTTAATTATCACCTATTTCATCGAGGCCCAGAGAGGTTGTATAATAATCCTAGGGCACTCAGCTAATGCATGGCAGCGCAAGGATGAGATTTCAGGCACTCTGGCTCCAGAGTCTGTGATCTTAGCTCTTCATTATATTGCCTGTCCACTATATGATAGAATCTGGACTTGCAGAAATGCAAATGAAATGGACTGGCAGAGCATTCCAGGCAGTGGGAGTAACATGAAAAAATGGCTGAAGGTGGAAAACATGGAGCATCTGTGGTGAACTGTTAGTGGGTCACTTAAGCTGGAGAAAAGAAGTTTATCAAGAACAACTGGAAACTAGATTAGAGAAGTGGGTTGTAGTTTGATGGTAGGCTCACAACCATGATTTTAGAGAAAATATGCAATCAGGAAGCAGTGCCACAAGCAAAGAATAAGTAATGGAGCTAAACACTTGCATAAGTATGAGGTGGTTTTTAGATAAATTTTTGTGCAGGTGGGGAACACCACATCCTCCCCACCAACCCCCTGGTTTGGATCAATTTGTATCCAGGGTAACACTGAAGAACTTACTATTTTTCTATCCTCTTTTTTTTTTTTTTGAGACCAGATCTTGCTCTGTCTCCCAGGCTAGAATGCAGTGGTGTCATCATAGCTCACTGCAACCTCGAACTCGTGGGCTCAGGCGATCCTCCTGCCTCAGCCTCTGAGAGTACTACGATTACAGTTGTGAGCCAACCATGTCCAGCCCCACCCTCTTTTCTTTTTGCTTGTTTTAGAGTAACCATCATTTTAGGTGAAACTGTATATCAAGATATTACCTTCAACTGGGTACCTGATTTTAGGTATTCTATTTTCTTAGCACAAAGTCAGAAGCAACAAAAGTTATATATTCTAGGCTTTACAAAAGTCATGATTATGCTTAGAAATGATACTGCCCTCATATCACACTCTTTCACTTGAAAGTTTTTTACATCTGAGACCTCTCTTCTACTCACAATGCTCTTTTTTTTCTTATTTTACTGTGATGCACATGTACTATATGCCAAACTCTGTTACAACAAACTTTTAAGAAACCTCTCCGCACCCACGTGATTAGTCACCAAGAGCCGTGCCTTCTTTGTCATTATCCACTGAGGAAACAGTGTTCTGAATACAAAATGGAAAATGTAGTTTATTTGCAAACCTCAGAATCCTAGAGCCAGAAGGGCTCAATGTCTTGTTTCACAGACAAGAAAACTGAGGCCCAGAAAAGAGAAATGATTTCCTCGAGGCTTCTGTAACATTCTTTTGGCACCTTGCTTTTAATAACATCTTTTTCTTTAAGCTCCTTGCTTCCCCCTTCCCTACAATTTTTTGTTTTTTATTTAATTCATGTACCACCCTCTTGATTTTCTCATATCTTATGTACCATTATTGACTTTACATAT